TCTGTTAATTCTTAGGAATCGAATGTTCGAGAAAAACGACACGGCATGAAGGGCGCTGCATGAATGAGGACAGAATTCTTTCAATGTTAAACAGTAGGCAACAGACTCTCTCAGATTTTACAGCATGGACAGGTTTTGATACATATTTATATGTTCGGTTTGAAATTCAGATGAAGAGATGCGCAAATGAAATCCAAAATTTCTTTGACCAGTATAGATCGATAGAGTTGTTAGGATATCTGAGTAGCATCCCTTTAATTTACGAACCCAGATAGCTTACCTGGGAAAATATACCCATTGGGATATAGCAAAAAATTAATAACACAACAGGTAAGTTTTTTGTGTTAAAGTACTGTTAATTATTGTTAGAAAAGGTTGGTAGTGACACGACAATATTTGAGAACGTTGTTTCTTCGTTAGGCCTATAGCCATTTTGAATTTCAGCAACATTGTTGTGATATATTCCTACGCACTGTTTTTGATGCGTAAATTTTATAGTAAACTGAAGGGAAAGTTTCATTTTATTATTTTAAAATCTTAATTAAATGATAAGAAATGAAAGTAATATTTTTTTTCTTTGACCGACGTATCAAAGAAAAAATTTGGACAGAAAACGTTTTCATCAATGCGCTACGCGCATAGATGACGTTTTCCGTCCAAATTTTTTCTTTGATACGTCGGTCAAAGAAAAAATATTACATTCATTTCTTAAATCACGTTGTTAAAAATACAATGTCGCTGACCAATTTACTTAAGGTAATATATTTGTTTGTAAGTTTTGCCTTTATGGAAATAAAATTGTCTTTATTTTTCAATTAATAAAGTGTATTTCTAAGGGTAATTACAGGTTCTTATGTCCGTATAAGCATTCTGGTAATATAGATTAATTCAATACATAATAAGGAACTTTTAGGGAAGAAAGAAGATAAAACAAATTGAAATTCAATCGATAATGGTGCAAAATTGTGGTCGCACGAAAGTCGCCTGAATTTCGCATGAACAAAAATGTAAAATAATCATTTAAATTTGCATATTTTTTTTTTTTCGTAATTATCATGTGATTATCATACAGTTTTCATTCCAAACTGACAACAAATGAAAGTCCTGCTTTTTTTGTGCTAATTTACCATATAGCTAAACTATCCTTGTATACATAAGCATGATTTATGTTTTTATGTAATTTTGACAACAAGGAACTACATTTCATTTAATTAAAACACAACAATAGTCTGTCACATATAAGTAGATTTCTTTTCTGAAAAAAAAAAGAAAATCAATGAAAAAGATTTATGCTGCCATATTTTTGTCCGTAAGTCCTGTAATTAGTGCTTTTTTGTAATTCTGAAGCAGGAATTCTGAATTACTTTGTTTTTACAAGTTTTATTTTTTATTTTGTAACTGTTTGCTATGAATATTGCAATCAAAAATGGGGTAATGAAAATCACTGCAAACACCAACTTAAAAGATTGCCTTCCGTCAACTTTACAATAAAAAAAATAGGCAATACTTTAATATTGTTTAAAAGTGCACAAATGTTTTAAAGGTGCTTGGACACAGATTTGAAGTTAATATTTTCTCAAATTTTCCGTATAATTTTTTATGACTTATATGTTGCTATAGCATTTCATTCTAAAATATAACGAAAATCTTATTTCCCCTCGAATTTATTAAAACTTCAAATTTCTGGACGCGTTGGATTGACACATCCTTGCGCTTTCACATATTTTAATTTTATTCTTAATACTTAAGAAAAGTGGCAATTTTATTGTGTATTAATGAAAAAATATTAAAACTATAACCCAGAAAATTCAGAGTAGAAATGTTCGAAAGCAAAACCCACTCACAGTATTCTAAGTCCGTGCCCAGTGGTGTATGCAGAGTTTAACAATTGAACACACCCGGTGAATCGTAAACATTAACAGTAATAGAGCTCGTGCCCTGTTTACAAAAACAGTTTACGTTTCACGGGTGTGTTCAATTTGTTAAACTCTGTACACATCACAGAGCACGGACTGACAATACTGGTGAGTTGGTTTTGCTTTCGAACATTTCTACTCTGAATTTTCTGGATTATAGATGTAATATTTTTCATTAATATATAACAAAATCGCTTCTTTTCTTAAATATTAAGGATAAAGTTAAAATTTGTGTAAATGCTAAGATGTGTTAATTAAACGCGTCCCGGAATTCGTACTTCCAATAATTTCCAAATAAAATAAGTTTTTAATTATATTTTCGTGTGAAATGCTATTGCAATATATAAGACTAGTCGTGATATTATACAGAAAAATTGAGAAAATTGTGTCTAAGCACCTTTAAAGGGGCATGGACACAGTTTCAGATTTTATTTTTCCATTTTTTATGTTTACAATACTTAAATAAGACATTTCTAATGATCATCAAAACTTGAATGCCAGTTATTGAGAAACAAGAGAGATTTAGCGCTCCCAACCTTTGTTATGTTAACAAGGCCTGTGCCATGTTTTTGTCAACATAGGTTAAATATACTAATATATGTTCGTTCGAAGCAGATTTTTTCAATATATACAAGTTAATTCTAAATACAATTAGACAGTTTCTAGTGGTTTGTTGAATCTCGTTTTCTTATAAACATGATATTTTCTATATGTAAACAAAAACAAGGCACGAGCCTTGTATACATTAAAAAGAATTTTAAGTTCTATGTCTCCTTTGTAAATCAACAAAAGACATGAAAATTTTTGTTGATCATTAGAATAGCCTTAGTTAGGAATAATAAACATTAAAAATGGTAAAAAAAAAAAAAAAAAAAAAAAAAAAAAAAAAAAAAAAAATTCAGTTGAAACCGTGTCCATGCCCCTTTAAATAAATAACTACATATATTAGCAAACGAAAGAGTATAAAATTTCATCTTTAATCTTTTCTAAACGTCCATAAAATAAAGGAATTTATTATATATTTATAATGTAATACAGGGTTTTTGCATCCCTGATATGAACACAGGCACGCGCCCTGTAATACACACCCTGTATCGGCACCCTTTATTTTACCCTTTATCACACCCTTTATTACACCTATCCGGAACATCTCTGTATTTTTCATTCGGAGTACCTCGGATCTTTTTCTATTAATTTAATTGTTAATAAAGTTTATTTAAATTGTAATCTTATTTCATCGGGAATTTAATGTTGTTCAAAATAATTATTTTTTAAATTTGTAATTATTTCATTTCTTATCACTGAATATAATGCCTTTGGGAAAAAAAAAATGAGAAATGGAAATTCAACAAAAACAGAACACATTCAAATTATTAAAAATTCAGTAATTAATTTACAAGTTTATAAATGATTTTAAGACACTTTTTTCAAATATATAATAAAAACAACAATACATGACAAAATCTGTATCACACCCCATATCAACCCTCGACCAATATCAGCCCTCTGGCCTTCGGCCCTCGGGCTGATATTGGAGTCTCGGGTTGATATGGGGTGTGATACAGATTTTGCCATGTATTATTCTCTATATAATGTATTTTAGGATTTTCAAGATACAATCGAACTAAAGGATGTATCTTTAAAAGGGGTTAAAGATGATGACATGTTCTATAGAGTTAGTGCCCTTACTCCCTCAATCCCCTTTACCCTTAATGTGGTAGTTCAATAATTTAACAATCCACTTAAATATAGAGTCAAAAGCATTTTTTTTAAAACAAAGATTCTCGAAACCAATAAAAAAAAATTTCTAATCTACCATTAACAGTAAAAACTTTTTAGAAAATATCTTAATTTTCACACTATACTCGCTATATCACACTTATTCCATTTGAGTGGCTCAACGGTCCATTTTTGAAAGATTCCATTCATAGTATGAGTAAAACTATTCATATTTCGGTTAATAAAAACACGGTGCAAAGATCCACTTTACCTTAAAAATATACTCTAATGACACAACATTCCTATCGTTTCCAGAAATATTTGAGGTCCATTTAGTCAAGGGTCATATCGCAAACATGATCTCATCCCCTTCGACAACTTCTGTATGCCAAACAGTCCTCAATGTAAGATGTGTTCTAATGACGCACTTTTCAAGGTAATTTAAGTTTTTAAAAGAAGAAAGCATATCAAAGAGTTGTTTGCGGTTGGTTTTATTTGTATTAGTTTTAGAGTGCAAATCTTCCTTTTTGTTTACTATAATCAAGAAAAAAATATACTTAATGTTGACTACAGTGTACTTTACCAACACCTGATCTAGAGATGGTATCCAAGAAAAACCTTTCAAAAAGGTGTGAACATAATTATGAAATAATACGATGCACTTTTATATTACATGTATATTGATTGATGGTTTGGAATATCTTATACAACTTTTCAAATCAAGGTTAAGAGGATATCGTTAGCGTATGAAAAAGAGACACAAATATTTGGATGTGATCGTTCCTCAGTTGAAAATGGTTATGAGAACTGTTCTATCAGTTGAACAACTGATGAACAACTAACGTATTTAGATTTTATACTGGAAATCTAATTTTTTCTAATTTCTCTAGATCAATAAGCTTAGTCTGCTCTCCAATTCCATTCAATTATTTTTTGAATACTGAATAATGAATTGTTTGAATTAATAGTCTTATCGATCTTTTTCTGTAGGAGTTGGATTTCCAATGTAATCGTCACTGGTTTGGCACATCAAATGTTTCCCCATATTTTTGAGATTTTGAAAACCATTTGAAATGCATCCAATGCAAGCATCTAAGATTTATTGTTACATAAAATGTGAATCCGGAACCAGTACATACGGATATAATTAATTAATAGTACTTAACCCACCATGAATACTTTGAATTGTTGGAAATGTTCTCGCTTTTATCGCATTTCACACAACGTACAAGATTAACATTTCTTGATTTGCAAGCAAACAAATGAAGTGTTTTCTTTAACACTTACGATTTTTTCCTTGCTTGTCTTAGTAATATGGGCAATGTAGGTATCTGTGTTGCTGAAACAGAATCCACAATTTGTTTTTCTTCATCATTGGACAAAATTTCTTCAACCAATATGGTCGTGGTTATTCCATAGCATTTCTGATCTATGAAAAATGAATTCATTTATTACCAATTTCATATTTTTTTTTTTAAATTGTGAAGTTTTTTCCCCCTTGATTTGTAATTTTTACACAAACTGCTAATCTTAATTAAATTTGAGACGCCATTGTATATTTAACTGTATCATGTGCTGTTTATTTTCCTGCCAGTATGCATGTGTGCTGCTCACATTTGTAAATATCTGTGGAGTTATAAACCTTTAGACACGGAAAATCAAACCTCGTGCAATCAATTAGAAAATTTCCCTGTATTACACCACCAGCTGTGTTGTATTCGGGGCAGCAACCTTGAAGTAAGATTTAAAAAGGTACATATAAATTAAGACATATTCATCGTCAATGAGTTCATTTGGTATGTAAAAATTTTAGACTAAAAATCCTCTATCATATAAATAAACTTAGTAGCCCTTCTTCGACCACCATCCATAAATATATTGAGTACACAGAGAAGATTAGTGATTGAGCAGACTAATTAGTTTTCAAAGTATTTGCTAAATGCAAAATATGGTTAATGTCGGGAATATCTAGGATCTCAAATGTTTGTGGTCGGATATAAACTTTTTATGAAACGATTTGTGTACTTGATTTTTTTTTTTTCATATCTTAGCCTTGACGAGGGATAGAAAACAGACAACACGTTGCATAAAACTCACAAACCCCTGGAGATTCTTTTCATAATATATTTATCGTTTGTTTTACACTTTTTTTATACACGAATTCATTTTTCTGCATTTATCACTATCACGTTATAAACATTGTGACATCAACTGTTAAAATGAAAACAGTATCAACAGCATAAATGAATAAATTTGTGATAAAATATGTTTTACAGGGAATACATGTACATGTACTAAAATTTTGTTAAGAATAAAAATAAAATGAAATGAATATGAATAGAATATCTTTAATTTGGTAAGTATATTTGCTTTATCGAGCTTTGTGTACTTGAGAGGCTTGCCAATCAAGCAAACATACACTATTTCAACGAATTGAATAAAGCAAATATAAAATCACACCATATTATGGTGGCATATTTCTGCCCCTTGTGTGCAAGTTTTTTTTTTTTTTTTTTTTTTTTTTTTTTTTTTTTTTATCAAATATGTCGACATGCAAGATTAGATATATGTTGACATGCAAGATAAATATGTTGACAAGCAAGATAAGTATGTCAACATACAACATAACTATGTTGACATGCAAGAAAATTGCAATCAAATAAAAATTATTAAAAATCTCCAGAAATCTCAAATATCGCCCACATGTGACATCTAACATGCTAGATGCTAATTATTTATGTCAACATGCAACTTATTTATGTTAACATGCGAGATAAATAAGTTGATATACAACTTATTTATGTCAACATGCAACTTTGTAATGTTGACATGCAAGATAAATATGTTGACATGCAACATATTTATGCCGACATTGCGACTTATTTACATCGACATGCAACTTGGTTACAGGTACATGTATGTTGAGATGCGAGATAAATATGTTGATATGCAACTTATTTATGTCAACATGCAACTTAGTCATGTTGACATGCGAGATAAATATATTGACATGCAACTTATTTATGTAAACATGCAACATATTTATGTCGACATGCAACTTTTTTGATGGCATGCTGTTTGTTTGAATGAGGGTATAGTTTAATCAAAATCTGTGGTTGCAGTGAATGAGAAGCTGAACTTCTGAACGTTCATCTTGTCTCTACACAATTGACAAGGTAAAACTTTGTTTTAGATCTGATATAAAACTGATATTGGATGTGATGAAGATCTTTTGGTTGATTAATCTGGTCTTTTGTATAATCCTAATTGATGTGTACTTCATGTAGCTATTATTTGATCAAACAAAGTACTTTTAGTACTTCACTATCTTCCATAAGTTTAATTGAATTGCAAATTTTTAGTATAATAAACTCTTACAAGCCAAATCGTGGTGTATTTAGTTTGATGTACATTTACACATGTAGGAAGCAAAACAAAAATTCATTGTGTTTAAAGTATTTTTTTTTCTATTTTTTTCAGCGACAAAAATACTATGGGTGAAAATATCTATATTCTTGATCTTGCTCAACGTTTGGTTGTGGACGGACTTCCCTTCAGTAGGAATGAAATGATTGCTGTTTATTACCACTCTGGTTATACTATTCAGAGAATTATTGGATTCTTGCGAGCAGACATAACATAGCTCTTAGTAAATAGAAAAAAAAAATCATCGAGTTTTAAGGGAAATGAATCCGACGAGACGAAACAACCAGCTGCGTTTGGAGGACATTGTAAAGGCTATTCTACTTGAACTTTCTACATGAGATTTCATTGCATTTTAAAACCCCCAACTCCATTTTCTGTCTGAGTGACACCCCCCCCCCCCCACACACACACTTTATGACTCCACCCTGGACCTTCTGGGGGCTTAAGGCGGCCCCAGACCTCTTGCTGCTATGGTTTTGCCTCACTAGAATTTAAAGGCAAGCTTCGCCCCTGCATAGTTATATTGCATCTTGTATGTATGATGTCAGATACTGGCGTTAGTAAGTGAATTTACAAAGATTAAAATTATATTCTCTGATAAGAATTGGTTATTGCATGTTATCATAATTTTTATGCATGGAAACATAATTATCTTGCATGTTGACATATTTATCTTGCATGTCGACATAAGATACATATTGAAGCTAATGATTTAGAATTAATACCGATAATTACAACTGGCGGCGCACAGACCTCGTACATTTTATCTAACCACTCATCCTTTAGACAGTGATAAGCGTATTTTCTTGTACAATTCCTTGACACCGATTCACAGCTCTTTATCTTTGATGCTCTATTCCATTCTTCTTTATGTGAGGGACACTTGTCAACAAAGTTTGCAAACGTACGAGGCTCTGGACATGCATTTATTTTCTGAAAGTATAATTGCACATACATTGTGGTAACGATTAAACAATGTTGAGATATATAAATGCATATATTTGTTTTTGTGGTATCTCTCTGTTATATAAATATACAGAGAGCAAAGCAAACTTCACACCTGTTATGACGTTTAAAAACGAACGGCGCAAAAACATCTACACATCATTACAAGCCATATAGGCTACTTAGTGCATTTCTTTTCATGTACAAAATGTACAAAATACGCGAGTAAAACAATTATCGAATGCTTTATTTTTATTTAATTATTTTTTTTTTTACTTGAAACACATAACGTTATAATACAAACATAAACTTGTATGAAAGTAACACAGTCTTGTCATTGTAGAATTCATTTTTGTATGAGAGAGAGAGAGAGAGAGAGAGAGAGAGAGAGAGAGAGAGAGATTTTATTGTTTTCCTTGGCTGTATATTTCAATGAATTGTAATGATTTTTGACGTTGTTTAGAAAAACCATGGATAGTGATACTATGATTTTGACATTGAACTCTGTAAATGTATTGCCCAGTGAAATTCCCCGTGATGTTTTTAAGTTATTAATTTTTGAATTAAAATTGATATTTTGTCAACACTACCTATATCTTTTAAATATTCAACATCATATTTTGCTAAAACTTAAATAAATTATTTTCTTCTAACTGTTGAATATTAATTTCAAATAATATTGCACTGTTGAAATTTGTAAAAAGAAATTTGAAAATATAACACAGCCAAAATAGCTAACATCAATACATACGTCTATTACATACCAGCGATCTGAGATTGCTTAAACGAGAAAAAAAAAATGTAACTTGCAATTTGCAAGTTGCAACTTTCTACTCTACAATATCTTTCATAACAATGGAATCTGTTTTAACTTATCTGATGTCGACCAAAAAAGACCTACAAAATGACTACAATGAATCAGATATTTTCTTTTTTAATTGTTCAAAGAATAAAAGACAAGGTATTTTTAAAATTGGAGGTTGATGAAAATATGAAAATTTCTTCCTCTGTCTTTATGCTACTAACATTGCATAATATTTCGTTGGCAAAGATGACAAACAAAAGACAACAAATTCCTGCACCTGGACATCTATACCATATTTTTCTGTGAAACCAAGAAGCTTTGAAACATAATGATGTCAAATTAAAAGAAATCATAATAAATATTTACGTATTCTGATTTTTAAAAATCTCAGTTTAGAATTGATTGATTGTATGTATGTTGTTTAACGTCCCATTCGAGAATTTTTCACTAACATATAGACGTCTCAATGTAGGAAAACTTGTAAATAAGTTATACAATGTGAATACTTTATAACATTTTTTAAAAATTTATAAAAAGACTAAAGAAAAATAAATTTTTTTCTATATAGATGATTTAATCACGCGCTTAAGTCTTGGTCGCTATTATGTGGAAAAAAAACTATAAATCAGTGGTCACCACTTAAATTCGTAAAGTTACAAATAGAACGCTCCTTAATATCCTTAAAATCAAAATCTTTGTGCACTAAAGAATATACTTACATATAGGTCATGACTTATAATGTTTCTAAAAGACATGAAAACATGTACAAGAAATATTTGAAATATAACATACTCTTGCTTAACGAATCCAATATATCTCATTAGTTTCTACTGACAATTAATGACAATCTGAAGCAAAAAAAAAAAAAAAAAAATCAATTGATCCTTTGTTCAACAGTTATTGGAGAGCACAGTAGATATACATGTATGTCGGCCAGGACATTTGTTTTTAAATTTTATGCCTGTTGTAAAAAATTCGTTTTATACGTTATGTATAGGCTTTATATCTTAACAAGAGGCCTATGGGCCAAAACGCTCACCTGAGTCAATAAGGCCCGTTGTTCTTCATAAGCAGATTTTTTCTATTATATATTCCTATGTAAAATTTTATCTCCTACTGTGACCCCTTTACTCTCCCAACCCCAACCCCGGTGTCATGATGTAGCCTCACCATACCCCTCAGAATCATGATTTGAACAAACTTGAATCTTGGACTACCTCAAAATACTTCCATATCTATGTGACACTACCTTATAAAAATATTTTTGAGGAGTTTATCCTAAATATTCCTTTGTAAAACTTTGATCTCCCATTGTGGCCCTACCCTATCCCCCAGGGTCAAAGTTTGAATAAACTTGAATTTACACTAGATAAGAATGCTTCAATATAAATATTCCTAAACATGGCTTTGCTGTTCTGGAGAAAAAGATTTTTAAAGAATTTTTCATATATATTCCTATGTAAAATTTTGATTCTCTATTGTTCTACCCTATCCAAGGGGGTCAGGATTTGAATAAACTTGAATTTACTCTAGCAAAGGATGCTTCGATATCAATTTGCCTAAACATGGCTTTGGTGTTATTAAAAAGAGATTTTTTCCCATGTAATCCTATGTAAGATTGATCCCCTTTGTGGCTTCACCCCACCCTACCCGCGTGGGTAAACAAACTTGAATCTATATTACCTGAGGATGCTTCCATAATAATATGACTACTTATGGTTTTGCTGTTCTTGAGAAGAAAATTTTTGAAATATTCCTATGAAAAACATTGATCCCCCATTGTGGCCCTACTCTACCCCCGGGAGTCATGAACAAATTTGAATCTACTCCAAGTTTTGTTTGTTTGTTTATTGTTTAACGTCCCTCTCGAGAATTTTTCACTCTTATGGAGTTTCACCACTTGCCGGTGGAGGGCTGCAAATTTATAACCTATACTCAGCACTAGAGGCCATTGAGCAGTGAGGGATCTTTTTCATGCCAACACCTACTGCGACACGGGACCTCAGTTTATACGGTCTCATCCGAAGGACTGGTCTCCACGTCCCGCAGTGAATTCGAACCCGCGTCGTAAGAATAAGTTCCTTACTTTGCGACTCTAGAGAGGACGCTCTAACCACTGCGTCCCACATGCGACTCTACTCTAAGTAAAGAAAATTTCAAATAAGTTTCAACACTTTTGGCAAGAGTGTGTGGCCCTTCATTTGAGCAAACCTGAATTCCCTTCACCCTAGGATACTTTGTAGGAAGTTTGGTTGAAATTGGCCCAGAGGTTCTGGAAAAGTCGAAAATAAGAAAAAGATAGTTTACAGACTGACGGACAACTAGACAGACGGACAACGGACAAAATGTGATCAGAAAAGCTCACTTGAGCTTTCTGCTAATATGAGCTAAAAATGCAATAAATGTTAAATTCAGAAAATTCCTATTTTTCTTTTATAAACGACTTTAGTAAAATGTGAAATTCTAAAACGGAGGTATATGCACCAGTTTTACTCATGTTTTTGAAAAAAAATGTTAATTTTATTTAATTTTAATTTTAATTATTTACATGTAACTTACTTTATTGAATGTCTAAGGATTGTACATAGGTTAAGTTTACATAATGTGCTGTTTCCATTTCCCTATAAGAATAAAAAAGACCATATACTAACTCAATAGTAGTCATAATTTGTCATAATTATATTCACTATTTATAATGTCACATGTTATACATTTCCATCGAATTAAAACTACATGTATTTTTTTTTTATTTTCATGTAGTTTTACTACCCGACTCATTTATTTTTTCACATTGGGTTCGATGGCATGGCACTCTGGAAATTCCCATGAAACCTAAGATCGGGGACTGCCAAAATAGAAATCAATCTATCTTTGAATATTTCACTGAGATTTATCCAATCTCAAAAGATTGTTTGTTGTCAGCTTGATAAAAAATTGCCTGTAACTTAGATCCTCCAAACGTGCCCACCACCGTACTCTTTTTCTTTGCAATTTCTCGACTATTTATCCAAAGCAAATTAGACATTTAATTACCGTATACATATTATAAATACTTTGCGAATGAAACCTGAATATAGTTTAGGGACATCAAATTATGAGTAGTGTACTAGAAGAGGAATACGTGTGAAATCTGGTGCATACATTTCTGAGTTTACTTGCAAAATTTATTAATCCTTGTTGATCGGGAAAACAGAAAAATCTGTCGACAATTCAATGTGTAAATAATGACCTAACAATTAGTATGAAAAGCAGCAGTTAGCATTTGACTTAATGACTGTGTTTGCTGCCAAGATCATTGTATCGACCATAGAACTTGCGAACTTATGACTTTAAACGAGATTGCTGATATTCTTGTTCTCTTGCCTCGTTTTAGAAATTGGTTTTGAATATGATTTTGAAGAATTTCTTCTTTACAAAGGGAGCCATGGATATTATGTGAATTATCACTTGCAAAAAAGAAAATGCTAATTCCTCTAAAAACAATTTAAGTAATAAGCCTTACAAACAAAGACAATGTTGATACCTGCTTTGTGTCACCTAGGACCAGTGCATACTGAATGTGTAATCTCACCGTGTATATCCCAACATGCGGGGTGTATGCTTTGAAGCGATAGAAAGGGGGTCAAGGTATGCTTTTTGTCCAATTTCTCAACTTATGGATGTACATATGCTTTCTGACGAAATATATAAATCCATAAATTGAGAAATTGGACAAAAAAATACCTTAACCCCTTTTGTATCGCTTCGAAAGCATACATTCCGTGCACAACATAGTATACACCCCTCATGTTGGATTATACACCGTGAATTTATTTAATTCTTTTTCCACATCTAAATTATTGAAGACAGAAGGATGAATCGTTTTCATATTGCCCCTCAATTGCTTAATGTGTTAATAAAATGTGGCAGTTATGTGGCCTTACATGTTTCGAATAGGTTATCATTGCACTGAAATGTTCAAAATAAAATCAGAGTTTAATTCATGAATATCGTTTACACCTTTTGCAGATTAACATGCTGCAAACTTTGGCAGATTCTACTAATATGGTGATTTGATTGAAAACATACTGAAATCCAATATCGAGATTTTAAAAAATTCAATGAAAATAAGTTTCTAAGAGATTTAGAAAATGCAAATTTTAACAGTCTTCTTGAACTAAAAGACCCAAATGAAATATTGAATAAATT